TTCACCTATATACATGTACATATGAGGTCCAAGACTGACAGAGTGTCTTCCTCAGTCACTCTCCATCTTACATATTGAGGCAGGGTATCTCACATGAACCAAGAGCTTTCTGTTTTGGCTAGTCTTGTTAACCAGATTGCTCTGTGGATTCCCATCTCTGCCTCCCAGTGCATTGGATCGAAGGCTGGCTCCACACCTACACAGCTTTTATATGGGTTCTGGAATCCAAACTTTGGTCCTCATGCTTGTATGGCAAGCGCTTTACCTGCTGAGTCATCTTCCCAGCCTTATGTGTTTTTTAACTTGATAAATGAAATGGCTACCAAGTGACTAACGGACAGATGGTGCATATACCAGGGTGGATATGCAGAACAAAGACATGTCCCATGTGAGAGGGGGCAGACTTTGTGAGTGCTCACGATGTACCTCAGAATGATATCCTATTTAAAACCTTTGAAATGTTTCTGTAACTTCCTGTTTAACAATTTTGGAGCGTGGCCGACCGCAGGTCAACATAAAATTATAGAGAATGAAACTGAAGATGAGTAGAGAAAACTTAATGTGTGGCTAGAGGCAATGGTGTACCTGGGCCTCATGAAAATAATGTTAAGCAAACAATTCACACACAAAGTAATACATTCTGCAAAGTTCTAATTGCATGAGTTCAAATATAGAGAAAATAAAATTATAATGTTTAGGCTACATACTTAGATTGTTAAACTATAAAGAAAAAATTGTAAGCTAAAAAGGTTACATAATTAGAAACCCCTGTGGGCAGGAAAGCTGTAACTGGAAAGGTGAAGTAGCTTGAATACTGCTTGGCAATGCTCTTTGCCTTGACCCACATAGTGTTGACACAGATTTCATTTTTATAAATACTCCTTAACTGCAAATTTATGTTTTATGCATTCTTCTTTTATTCATGGAATAACAAAAGCATTTTAACCTCCTTTCGACCTCAGCAGTGAAAACCCAGGCAATTATTTTACAATTTACCCCCAAATAATAAGGCATAGAAATTGGTATGCTTCACACACTGACCTATTTGCCGTAGACATTATGATTCACGTTCAACTCCATTTCGGGAATACAAGTGTCTGCCAATGAGTCAGCTAATTAGTAACTATCTAGAATTAACTGAACAAAATCAGAATTAGCAGCAATCTGTCTATTCCAGTTATGCCCAATCACTCCTAAATTTAAAGAATGCTTTTTTATTTTTAATCTTGAGCAGTCAGGGTTTCCTTATCTGCAATATTATGTGTGATAATGCATTAAGATAAATATATCTCACCAGGTAAGGTGGTGTATGCCTTTACTTCCAGCACTTGGAAAGCAGAGGAAGGTGGATCTCTGAGTTTGAGGCCAACCTATTCTACAGAGTGAGTTCCAAGACAGCCAGGGCTACTCAGACAAAAAGATAAATATATCACTTACATTCTAAGCTTTTGCTGAACCTCACAGCCATAGCTAATAATAAACCTTGAGGTCACTTAAGACTGCTACCCTACTGTATACTCAACCTGTTTATTTAACATGCCTGTTAAGAGAACAATGTAACAACCAACCTTACTTACCTTACATTTCCCATGTGAACAGCTTTACAACCCAAATTAATGCATATCTGTAATCTTCAGTTATGTGCTCTTCCATGGCCCTGACCCATGAGTAATGTCATAATAATCATTTTCTGGAAACAGCAAATAGGATGAAATTATAAAATGAGCATCCACTGTAAACACTAACCACAACATGAAGATATTGCTTGATAAACAATGATGTTTGTAATATTGGTTTTTGTCTGGGTCAGTGGGGTCAGTTGGAGTCAGTGATTTAATCCCCTGTAAAACTGAATTGAAACATTTTGTAAAGAATCCCTCATTCCTTCTCCTTGTGACACTTCCTGTGCTTGTCAGTAGATACAGAGCAAAGTCCTTTGTTATGGACACCCAGACAATTAGAGTCATTAGACAGTCTTCAAGCAGGCGCAGATTCAGACCCACACAACAGATAGATAGAAACAACAAAAGACAAAGGGAGAGGGAAGTAGGGAATTCAAATCTCAGTTATATTACACCACGCAAAGCACCTCAGTAACATCCTTTGCTTAATCAGCAATGACACATTATGGTGACTCTGAGTTTATAATAATGTATTCAAACTGACCATAAGTATCTTCTGTTTTCTGTGATGATGTTAACCTCAGATAGGGCACCATGAACAAAGCAAAGAGTCCACCCAAATCTAGCTTAGAGACTCGGTGAGACTACCCCCCAAAACACATACACACTAACACCCTCCCTCTTTCATCTCCAACCCTTCAACTTGAGAGTACAAGTGACTTCTTGAATGTTCCATCATGGGTCATACAGATAAGACTCAAGCAAGGACTTCTGATTGCCAGGCTCATGATTTTCTTCATGCAACTGAAGAAAAAGGGAGATGCAATAAAATGGAATTTTGATGAACAAGAAGAAGTCAGCCAAAGTGTAAACTTCGAAACACAAACACACTCCTTCCACTCATGGTAAAAATTAGGAAGTCTAACTATAGCAATTGTCACTGAAGGTATCTCTGGGAGCTTCCATAGCATGTCAGAGGGCATGTAAATTCCAAAAACCATTTGCAAGGACTTGTGAAGTTCAACATGAATGTGCTTTAGGCTATAACAATAGACAATCATTTAAATGTGTCCAGTATATTTACTGAAGTATTTTTTAAATCAAAGTTATATCTAGTTTCATGAGACCTGAGCCTTCTGAATTTGGAGTATTCTCCTTAAGAAAAAGAATACATTGCAAACATAAGTAAATGCCAGCTTAGAGTAAAAGAAAGAATTGTTAGACATTTCTGGCTCAAGTTAGCTAAAATGTGTTGTGTAGAACCCTGTTAAAACATTCCAGAGGGGCTGGAGAGATGGCTTGGTGGTGAAGAGTACTAGCCACTCTTCCAGAGGACCTGGGTTCGATTCCCAGCACCCACATGGCAACTCACAACTGTCTGTAACTCCAGTTTCAGGGGATATAATACCCTATTCTGGCCTCTGTGGACACTAAGCACACATGTGGTACACAGATATACATGTAGGCAAAGCACCCATACAGATAAAATATTTTTTACTTAAAAAAATTTCCAGAGCTCAGGAATAATGCTGACACCATTCACTGCACAGATTCAAAGTTTCAGAGGTTAACAACACCATCGTTTCTCATTCCAGACCACTTCAGTGAACCTCGTGGATCAGAGAAGGTCTAATAGACATTCTATAGTTGATAAGTGTTCTTATATTGTAGAGGGAACAATTCATGGGTGTTTAATCACTAGAGTAACAAATGAGTAAGAGCATGGACTTCAACAAGACGGTTAAGTAACTTGGTGTGTATTACAAAAGCTCTCTAAGCTTTAGTTCCTTCTAACCTTGAGGAGGGCAAGGGCTATTGTGATGATTGAGTTCATACAAAAAGTGTTCTTGGTATATAATAGCCATTCTATCACACTCTACCAATTGAACATGGTACAATATTCATGTTGGAGATGTCATTCTAGCTACTATCTGGAAAGTGATGACTCTAAAGACAGAAGTGTGAATCCAAACATTGAAGACAAATCAGATTTTAGAATGATATGATTTGATACAGTAAAAGATACAGGGAGCAGTTGGATCTCAGAATGAGGCATGCAGGTAAGATCAACTTTCACTGTATAGTTGATTAATCATTACTAATTTTCCATTTCACCCCCTGGGTTCCTTTTTCATTGGGATACTGAACAATGGTCCTCTGCTTAGACTTTTCTAATTAAGTGAATTTCTAATTACTCTGGTTTAAATAGAGGAAGACAGTCTCCCTGAGACTCAGACTAAGTTCTTAAAAATCCAGCATAGTAAAGAGGAGGAAGAAAGACTGTGAGTCAGAAAACTGACCTGATGAGAAAATGAGCTTGATGATTGTAATGAGTCTTTTTCTGTCCCACCAGCCAGCTTCCAAATAATGACAGAGAGACTTATTAATTATCAAAGCTCAGCCTTAGCTTAGGCTTGTTCAACTAGCTCTTATAATAACTTAAATTAACCTGCTTTTACTAATCTATGTTTTACCATGTGTCCTTTTAGCTTTCTTTCATTCTGTATGTCCAGCTCTTTCCACTTTATTTCCTCTACTTCCTCTCTGCCTAGAAGGCCTGCCCTTATCTCCTGCCTAGCTATTGGCCAGTCAGCTCCTTATTAAACAAATCACAGCAATATATCTTCACACAGTGTACAAATATCCCAAGCAGCTGGTTGCTGGTTTTGCTTTTTTATTTTGGAGGGGGAGATATCTAATATACATTTGTACTTTAAGATAAAAGATATATCCACATATCCACATAATTTGGAAGGCTACAAGTTTCTGGTGTTTTGTTTGTATGTTTGTTTGGTTTTTAATTTTCCATTTCTTAAGGTTCTAGAAGTACCCAAAAGTATTTTACTGCAGTTTCATCTGGCAAAATTCTGACTTTCCTCAAAAGTCAGCCTAATTATCTCTTTTTCTGGGCTGCCCTCCACTTGTCACATACAAATCTATGTGTGCTCTTGCTGGTTTATACTGTAATGATCTCTCTGTATCTGTGTGTGTCTCTCTCTCCCTCTCTCTCCCTCACTCTCTCCCCCAGTCGTCACCCTTAGATCATGCTGCCTTCTACAATCCTGTCCCTCAGCGTTCCTGAGTCTCCCGGCATTTTATAAAGGAAAGCTTTAGATGACCCCAAGGGAGCTTCCTATTTCTGAGACACCTCTGAAAGCCCCGCCCACCTGGGCTCCTGCCACCACCTCCCCGCCCCTTGAGGGGCGTGAAAACTCCGAAACACAATCACGCATGCTCAACCTCAGACCCCACCTAGCGTGATGACGCAAGAGCGCGCACGGAGTGACGTAGGCCAATTGCAGCGTGCTTTAACTCTGGGTGTGTTGTCAGGTAGTACCTGCGTTGTCTGCAGGTGTGTGTCCTGTGCACCTTGAACACTGTCAGGTAGTACCTGCGTTGTCTGCAGGTGTGTGTCCTGTGCACCTTGAGCGTTCAACTCCCCAGGCTTTCGGGAGCAGGTCGTTGAGGAGAGGTCCTGAAGGAGCGGCCCGGAATTCGGAAGAAAGAGCGACGCAAGCGCCTGACGGCAGGACTGTGCGGGTGAAGAGGGCAACCCCGGCGGACTGCGAGCCGGGACGCCGGCCGCCCCGGCTGGCCACGCCATGCTCGGTGCCTGGCGTCTCCTCGGCGCTCTGCGCCTCTGCTCCTCTGTTTCCTGCCCCAGGCCCCGCGCGTCTGCCAAACTGCGCGTGCGGGACGCCCTCGGGGTACAGGACGCGAGTGGGGAGTGCGTAACGGTGCAGGTGGGTGTGCGGAAAGGCTGCTGCTGGAGCTTGCTTGGCCCGGCCACGACTAGCTTTACTCTGCGCGGTCCTGTCGGACCAAGGGTGGGCAGAGCAAAGTTGGAAATGAAGACGTCGCGAGTGTCCACGCTTCTCTGGGACCGTACTGTTACTTTTTGCAAATCTTTCTGTTAGGAGTGCGGCAGCAGTTTTTCGTGACACCTGTAAACCTGTCAATCATGCAGGAAAGTTTAAGCGAACACGCCCCCCCTTTTCTACCTTTATCTCATAATAGCGTGGGATGTCTTGCCCTCGTTCTTTGAGAGCAGAAATCCGATCTTCCCGTTTTCCTGTTCACCTGCCTGGCAGTAAATAGTAGTTCCAGGTGTGTCAAACATCTGACATTGCTACAGGATGTTGTCACCTACCAAATTTATACTTGATCCATCGAATCACAAAAACAAAAAAACCACCCCACCCTCAATTTAAAAAGTCTCAAAAGTTTACTGTTTTGTCTTGGGCTACACTCAACAGCTATCTTGAGTCACACAGCTTCATGTGGTACACATACACAAGTTGGACACATGGTAACCCATGCCTTTTCAGCTTTTAGCTGTCTTGACTCTTAATATGAGGCTTTCATGTAATTAATAAACTAGGAGAAAGAGTGGAATGTTGCAGTTTGCCAAACTCAGGGTGGCACTTGCCTTGGCTTGATTACCGAAACACACCGATTTGTCTCTCCTATGTTCTTGATGTTTAGCAGTATGAACAAACTTCTCTTCTTGCATTTATTTCAGTTTCATACTTGTTCCATGATCCAAATCAAAGTTATCAAAACCATTTACTGTACTCATCGATTAATTTGACATGCATTAATGAAGTCTTTTGTGTGATGATCAAAAGAAGATTCAAAGATGAACTGAACCTACTGTCCAAGTAACAGGCTTTTCTTTCAATTCAGTGCTTATCAGTATAATTTGGCAACTGTCAGCCATTTCTGGCTCTGAGCACTTGAGAAGGTTCAAGTACATGGAGATGTGTTGTATCTGTAAAATACATAATAACTTTGAAGAGTACAGAAAAATAAAATTAATGTGAGTATACTTTTATATTGGTTACATGTGAGTGATATTTGGAGCATAATTGGTTGAATTACATGTTACTGATTACCAATTTTTGCTTTTAATGTAGGAACAAATCTTTCTAAAGACTTATTTTGTATTTATCTGTATGTATCTACACGAGTTTATGCCATGTACATAGGAGAACCTGTGGAGAGCCATAGATGTGTCAGAATTCCCCGGAGCTAGAAGCAGCTGTGAGCTCCCTCAGATGGTACTAGGAACCTAATTTGGGTCCTCTGCAAGAGCAGGAAGTGTTCTTACCCTTGGAGCCATCTTTATGGCCCTAAGTATTTTTTAAATTATGTAACTCACATCATATTTTTGTTAGCCCTAGTTAACAGCAATGCATGATTATTAATGGTGTAAATAAAGAGCCATAAGAAGACAGAGAGGGAGTTCTTGAACTGTGTGGAGGTCAAGAAGATGTCACCAGCTTCAGCTGTCCTGGAGGATAGTATCCCCAGGTACGGTAACTGATGGAGTGGAAATAGCAGCAGAATGTATTTCCAGGCAGAAGATAAGGAGAAAAATAGCATTCCAGGAAAGTTTATTGATAATGTGAACTCCAGAATAATAATTATTTGAATTCCAAGTATACTACCTGATAATTATGACCTGGATTATCTTTAATTTTTTTTCCTAAGTGTCTGTTCATTTCACAAGTGATAATCATCACTTTATTTAGCTCTTGTAAGGATTAGATAGCATAATACTTACAAAGAGTTTAGGACAGAAGCACACTAAAAGTGTTGCTCTTAACTTCCCAGTAAGTAAAAATAAGAGAGTGGCACTTTGGAAATTACTATTAACTGAGAATGTCTTTGGAGGATGTGGTGAGATGAATTGCCTTGTACATGAAGCTGAAGTGGTTAACACTTCGTGCTGTATAGTTTTGGCCAAAGATCAAGCACTGTCTAGTAACATAGACTTGGGTTCAGATTTGGATACTAGTTCGTCAGCATGTGACTTTCAGTCTGTTATTTAGCATCCTGGAGCAACCATTTACTTGTTTGTAAAAGAGTTATAATAATTGTTAGGACTTTTATAAGAAGGAAATGAGACAGCATATGAAAGAGGTAAACTTTTTTTGACATAATACATCTTCAATAGGTAGTAGATATTCTTTCACTTAAAATGTGTATTGGAGAGATGGCTCAGCAGTTATAGGCACTTGCCATACTTCTGGAGAACCAGACTTTTTTTTTCCCCCAAGCAGCTAAATTCATTGGCAGAACCTAAATCAGGATGCTCACAACCACCTCTAAGTCCAGCTCCAGGGAATGTGGATCAAAGGTCAAATGTATCTTTGTCTTTGAAAATGCTGTTCTCTGTTAACTCCTATGCTGGTTATATTCATGTTGGGTGTGTAGCTGTTACTAGTATTAGTAGTCTGCTTGAAGACTTCTCATTTTTACTTGCATGTACCTGTCATTTAAGTAAAGACTATCTTTGAAATGTATGTGTTTCTATGTGTTCATAATGATGCTTTTCTTTTTATCATGTATTTTTACTTATTTATGTTAGTTTTTGTTCTTGCTGCAGAGCAGATAATACCCAGTCTTTGCTGTATCAAAATATCACATTTGGAAAATGATGAAGAGACATTTTAATAGTAATATTTCCAAAATTTTATTTTGTTCGTTAACATACAAAGGAATGGGTTTCTGGGAGTGGAGAGATCACTCAGTGGTTAAAGGTACATATTGCTCTTCAAGAGGACAAGAGTTTGATTCCTAGTACCTACATCAGGCTGCTCATACCTGTGGAACTCCAGTTCTAGAAGTTCTAGGAGACCCAACAGCTTTTCCTGACACCCCCCTGTATACATGGTGTATATAGATCCACACATAATATTTAGTCTAATAAAAACTCACAAAATTAAAAAGAAATAGATTTCTTTGTGACATTTTCATATGTATACTTTTTCTTTTTCTTTTTTTTTTTTTTGACACAGACTAGCTACATAGTACAACTTGGGATTCTCCTGCCTTAGTTTCCCAAGTGCTGGGTTCACAGGTATATACTACTCTATTTAGCTTCATGAGACTTTTTTTTTAAGAGCTTTTTATATGACATTTTGTAAATGGAGCAAAATAAGCACCAACTTGAAAACTTTTTTTTTAATTGAGTAGAGAAAAATAGCTTTGACAAGCCAATATTAAGGACATTGTTTATGCTAGTTATACTCATCAGCTTAATGAAATGTTTGGCATCCATTTAAAATGATGAGCTTTATTAACCAAGGTGGGCCACTAAATATATATCTCACCATGATAAGTCATGTAAAACTGTGTACACATCCACGTAAACCCAAAGCAGTTCATTTTATGCATTTGACATGTTGAGACAATATTGTGAACATTTTTTCTTTCATTTGAGCTTTTTTGAATGTGTAATGAAAATGTAAAATGTTTGGTTTTTAAGTTCACATTTAAAAATGCTTCTTTTCAGGGATGGGTCCGTTCAGTCAGATCCCAGAAGGAAGTTCTGTTCCTGCATGTAAATGACGGCTCCTCTTTGGAAAGCCTTCAGGTTGTTGCTGATTCAAGCTTTGATAGTAGGTGAGGTTTGGGGTTTTTTTTTTCCCCTTGTTTTCTTTGAAGAGTTCTTCATTTTTTTTCCTTTTCTAGTGTTCTCCACTTTCCAAATCGAGTGTTTTCTTTGCCTCCTAAATGGTCTTTCTAAGCAAATCTATGAAAAATAGCTTTGAAGGAAAATCTTAAATAAATTTGGAATCAAGAGCCTTCAAGCTCTAGCTCCTTCACTTGCAGAAGTCTTCTGCCCATGTTTTGCTCTAGTCTTTTTAAAACTACTTACACCTCCCTAACCTGTTGTCTTCTAGACCTTGTACATGTTAGTTCCTCAGCCAAATGAGTTGCTGTGTCATTTGTACTTCCACTTTAAACATCATCTGAGGTTTGTGTCCCACAACTATGGCAGGTGCTTCTCTGTTCCCATAGTACCCTGTGCAGCATCTGTCATAGAATGGATACCATTGTTTGGAAATTAATTGTATTCTTATTGGACTCCTTTGACACTTAGTTCTTTGAGGTTAGGAATGATGTATTCAATTTTCTGTCCCTAGCTTCTGTCACAGTGCTGGAAAATAACCAACTGTTATTGAACAAATGGAAGGGACTTTTACAGTCTCACTCATCAGATGTTAAAATGAATACCATTTTGTGTTAAAGTATAACCTCTCTGGAGCAGAACATTACTCTGCTAGAATAAAAGTTTTTTGCTATTCTGAGGACTGTTGAGAATAATGTTGTCTACATATTTCAAAGACTGATGCATCTTAACTGGGCAGAACAACAAAATCTGTTTGTCTTATTTATATTACTATTTCTGTGTTAAGTCACCTTGACCAAAGCAACTTACAAAGAAAAAGTTTATTGCAGACTGACAGTTTCATGTTTGAGTCCATGACCATCATGGCAGGGAGCATGGTGGCAGATTGTCAGGCATGGTGCTAGAGAGAGCATGAGAGCATGAAGGGGAAAGGAGAGAGAGAGAGAGAGAGAGAGAGAGAGAGAGAGAGAACACTAACTGGGAATGACCTGGGCTTTTGCTCAAGCAAAACCCACTTCCTCTAACAATGCTATACCTCCTAGTTCTCAAATAGTCCCACCAACTGAGGACCAAGCATTCAAATATTTGAGCTTTTAGAGGCCATTCTTAAACAAGCACACTGTTCTACTGTAACAACCTGCTGATATCTGTGAGAATAGCAATTGTATGGGTCTGTTTCACCTGAGTTCTGGAGATGACTACCTACCTCTTTGAAATATTTGCAAGAGCCCTTACAGGAAAATTCAAGACCATATCAAATATACTATAGTCATCAGCTGAAGTATACATCACCCGAAGTTTCTTTTTTCCACTGGATGTAGTAGTGAACAATTTTACATGTATACATTTACATATGACTAAAATGTTAAAAGGAAATACCATGTATTAAATGTAGCAAACAAATAAAACTGTTTGGGGAAATCTCCTGACACATTTATTTAATATATTACTCTATTATAATGTAGCTTTTAAGTACATATTTTAAGTAAGACATTTGCTACTTGATTTTAAAGGAATTTTTAATTTTTAAAATCTTTGTGTTTCTGCTCATGAGCACAGATGTCTATGTAGAGGTGAGAGACAACCTTCAGGTGTCAGTCCTTGTGTTTCTTTCTACCCTGTTGGAGACAGTGATTTTGCTTCTGTTTTAGCCAGGAAGGCTGGCTCAAGAACTTCTGGGTCCTTCTCAACATTCCATCTCCCCTTGGGGGTGTGCTGAGATTGTTGACATTTTCAATATTGTGTGTGGCTTTTATGGGGTTCTGGGCCATATGGTAACTCAGGTTATCAGCCTTGTGTGATTTTACCCACTCAGTCATATCTCCAGTCCCTCACCCCTTTTTTGAGACAGGGTTTCTCTGTGTAGCCCTGGCTGCTCAGAACTCACTCTGCAGACCAGGCTGGCCTCAAACTCAGAGATCTGCCTGCCTCTGCCT